ACTAAACATTAATACATTAAAGGGAGACAACCTAATTCAAAACATTACCAAAAACTACAATTGTATATCAATGATACTGAATAATAGTGCTGCTTATAACACAGTATAAATGCTGAGAGGAACAAAACTCAGGTCTTTTAGACTGTGCTGTAACTGTCCTGTGACAGATAGATTTGTCTCAGCTTTGCTCTGATTGAAAATTGTGAGAACAGACAAATTAAAATTCTATCAAAACATTACTCATTTAAAGCATTCTTTCAGTTTTGGTGTTTATGTAGTTTTGCGTTCTGCCTTTGCCTGGTAGTACAGAAGTCATTTAAAGAAACGAAAAAATTAAATTATATTACTTTGCTCTTAATACTCTTGGAGTTTTAATATTTAAGCTCTGGTGAAATAAAAGGCTGGTAAATCATTTTACATCCTGCTCAGGGAGAAGTATTGTGATTACCTGCCAGCCAGAGGATCTATACTCCCTGTAAATGTTATTGTGGTAAGTGGTAATTGAAAGATATGAAGCTCATAGTAATTCCTGTGATATTCTTAAAGCTGAAAGTGAAATACTTATGCAAGCATGACAAATCCTGAAGTTTAAATCATCTATTTCTACTTCCTCGACTACATGCTACTGCAACAAAAAAAATGAAATTGACAGGCTGTATGGGGCCAGAGAAGCACATGCTACGCTCACCTCCTCAGCCAGTCTATCCTCCGGGTCGTACTCTTTCATATCTATAACCTCACACTGGATCCCCTGAGCACTGATGTCGCCAGCAAGCTCTTTTGCAAAACCCTAGGCAGAGTTAAAATAGTAGTTTACAAACACATCACAATACAGTTGCATATAATTCTTTAAATTAGATAAATAAATAATTATAACAATTACACAGGCAGAACTTAAAACTACACTTTTTATGTTTAACATTTAATTTTACATTTTTAAATGTTATATTTTTTTCAGGATTCTTTGATGAATAGAAAGTTCAAAAGAAAAGCATTTATTTGAAATATAAATATCTCTTAACATCATAAATTTAATGCATCCTTACTGAATTAAAAAAAAAAATTTAAATAACAAATCTTACTCAAAACTTTTGAATGGCAGCATCAAATCAGCATATTAGAATGATTTCCGAGTAATGATGCTGAAAATTCAGCTTTGTATCACAGGAATAAATTACTTCTAAAAGTATACTGAAATAGTTATTTCAAATTGTAAAAATATTTCACAATATTACTATTTTACTGTATTTTTAATCAAATAAATGCAGAATTGGCGAGCACAAGAAATGTCTTTCTAAAAATTCCTTATTATTCCAAACTTTTGACCACCAGTGTATACAAACCTTTGCAGTTCCTGTCTGTGATCCATAGAGCACTTTGACCCCAGAAACATGAAGGACTTTTTCTGTTTCAGGTGAAAGTTCCTGATTTTTCACAGATTTATAAAGCAGAGGACTTATAGGGTCGACCATTTTTTTCTATAAAAGAAAAATACAATCTATTAAGCTGTGTTTATTAGCAATCAAGAGAAAAAAACCTAACAAAAACTTTAAGTAGCAGAGAGGCTTTAAGAGTAAACACACTTTATCACCTTTTTGAAAAGCATGTTCACAGTAAGCCAGACTCCTATGAGAACAGCAGCAGTAGTGTACACATATAACCTGTTCTGCCACACAGTCAGCAGGTAGCTCTCAGTGAATTCCCAAACATCATTCAAAGCACCTGTGAATGCACGGGAATATAGTTTGCACACTGACTTGTCGGGAAATATGTAAACAAACAATAAGCGACATAGTTTTTGATGAGACAGACAAGCGATATAGAACAATGTGTCAAAACTTAGTGAGCTGCCTATCTAGTCACTTTTACTATTATAGCAGCGTTTAAAAACACTGAAACTGGAAAGGCGCCTGGGTTGTCTAACAATGCTGTCTAAGTAGGAAGCTCACTAGATTTTGAAACACAGCCTAACCGCAAAACTGGTTCGATCCAGAACATTGAGTGCAATGTTGAGTGCACGTGCATCTAAAGCATTGCCGTACTGTTGATCTATAATATGATTAACAGTTTAATTTAACTCATTTTCATGCTGCTTGTCAGCCATGCGTTGCAATATAAACCCACCTGACATCTCAGCGCCGACTGCACAATACAGCAAACACGATACCACAGCTAAAAACATCTTCTGTGGTCTATCAAAAAGACGGCACTGTTTATAAATCTACAGCAATAGCCAGATAAACATCTAACTTCATATGTCGCATATAAATAACTGGCTAACTTTACGGCTGCAGGTCGAAGGACGCCGCCATATTGTTATGACAGGAATGCTGGGAAAATGAGGTCATCTTAGGTCATTTAACTCTCACGTGAGTCTTCACTGCTTGAATGTATATAATTTATTAAAATCATGTAATAAACAATATTAACTAATACGACATAAGTAACATTATTATTATGGAATAAGTTAATTCGTTAAAATAGTGTTAGGCTAATATTTTAATATATAATAATGTTACTAAATTTATTTCACATAAAACAAATAACACTTTTCATTTTTATAGTTTATTCAGGTTTTAAAAAATTCCACTTCTACAAACAAATTTATTACAGATTGTTCAACATCCCACTTTATACTAACAAAATGCATTCTGCATGTTTTCTGAAGGATAATAAAAAAAA